CATCCATCCATCCATCCATCCATCCATCCATCCATCCATCCATCCATTCATCCATCCATCCATTCATCCATCCATCCATTCATCCATCCATCAATCCATCCATCCAACAATCATGTTCTCAGGGACTCATTCACAACAGAACTGTCTTGGTGAGGATAGCATTGTACCAAAAAATAAAAATAAAAATTTAAAAAAGAAAGAAAGAAAGAAAGAAATCTGAAATAAAGAAAGAACAACACATCACACATATATGGAGATGATATTTTATTGATATATCTTGCACAATAAATCATTCACCAAATGTTTTTGCTTTCATCAATTGTTATTTGAAAAAAATATATACTTAGCTATTATCTCAGTGCTAATTGTGTAAAAAATATATAAATCATGAAAGCATTTTGCCTCAATGATAATTTTTTTAAAGATAATGGAAGTGTGTGCTTTCACTGACCTAAAAAGTGGTCAAGACAAAGTTAAATTATTGTCTCATGAATAGATAAGGATGGATCTTTTTCAGGATAAATACATATGTTCCTGCAGAATTGTGTGGGAAAACAGAACATTGTTCTGTGATTCAAAAAGATTAAGACAGGAAGATGTGTGTTTTGGCATAAATAAATACATTTTACAAATTGAAAAAACAAACAAAAACAAATTGGTAAACACATATATCTTAATCAACCTTTTCTTGTTATTTCTTCATGTGCTTCTATGGTATCGTACAATGTAAATAAATAAATAAACTGTAAATTGTTGTTAAAACTCTGCTCAATGACTAAATCTCTGTGTTCCGAACAATTAATATTTGGTTCTCTTTAAAAATAAAAATCAGATATTAACCAAGCAGGACTTCCTGTTTGATCTTGAAGACTTTCACCTCTTTTCTGAAAAGCTTTGTCATTTCAGAACTTCTTTAAAGTGTTAGCAGAATGACCATTTACATGGAAGTGGTGAAAAACCCAGGGTAACCTGAGACATTATAGCTTATAATATAGTTATCTTCAAAGGCAATCGTCATGTTTAGTTCAGTGAGTGTATATACAGTTTAAATTCACTGAAATCATTATCTGTTTCATACTCTGGAGGAGACCATTAGCTTGTCCGTGGCTGTGGAGGCAGAACCAAAGCTGGGATGTTCTGTGATGACTGCGTGGTGGAATTCCCGTTCCATGCGCTCCTCGTGCAACAGCGTCCCACAGTGACCCAGCAGACACCTCTGAGTCTAAACTGGCCTCTTGGGAACAGAGCCTGGTAGTGATACTTGAGAACAAAACCGAGATTGCTCATCCAGCAGTTGGAGCATGCTCTATTCAGGAAGAGAGAATCGGACAGAAAAAAAAACTATAAAAAATAAGCTAGAATAATGGTTAACAAACAAAAAATTACCTTCATAGGCTCAAAAAGAATGACAATTTTATCATATCCATATTACTTTGGGTACCAGGTGGGTTTTTTTAATGCAGTAACCTGGTACAAGCAGACTGGTCACATGGGATTTAAAATGTGATTTTGGTCACTGAGTGGCTTACCGTTTTCAGGATTTCATTATCTTGATGGAATTGTTCCTTTAACTGCATCTCCAGTTCTACGGCCTCCATTTTCACAGCAAATCTCAGCTTCTCAATGTAACGAATATTCTCCCTACACACACACACATGCAAACACATTGTATTTCTGTTTTTGTTTTGTTTTTTAGTCTATGAGATATATAAAAAAGAAATGTTACAAAGAAATCTGTGTCACTGTCCATGCAAAGAATTCCAGCTTTTTAAACATGAGTTCAACAGTTGTGAAAAATTGACATTCTAACTTTTGTAAAACTTCCCATCAATACTCAATAAATCTGATGTCCATACCTTGCATTAAAAGTAGGTCAATACAGTCCCAGTTCAAATGTATTTATTTGTATATGTATGATAAAACAGCTGTATATTTAAACAGATTAGATGTCCAAATTGAATGAATGTGCTCTTTCTATTCCATTAGACTGCATAGATAAACAGAACATTTGGCGTTTTTCTGACATTTTCAAGTTCCTGGGAAAACTTTCACTACATTAGTTAAAGAGACAATTAAAAAAGCAAAATATTTTTTGGATTTTTTTTATTTCCTTGGAACAATATTCATCAGAATGAATGTAATGTCAAGGTATAAAAATGTCATCATGCCGAGTTCCATCACTGATTCAATTATTTTGAAAGAATGTTAAACCTTTAATACTGATAGTGATCTCTGCACATATTGGGGTCTAAAAAGAATAGTTCAACCCAATAAAGTGTGACCCAAGAAAAAAATTAATAAAAATAGCTTTTTATCTAAAAGGATTTTCATAGTATATGTTCCAGAGTTTTGTTTTTTTAAAGGTCTAATTACATGAAGGTGCAACAGGTCTCAGAAAGCTGTGTATCAAATACAATATTTCCAGCCTTAAAGGGTTAACTGTGTACCTGTCAGCGTTGGAGAGGATGCTGTAAACTTCAGACTGGTCAACAGAGATCTGATCTTCCATGTTACTCAACACAGAGCAAAACCGCTGGAGACAGAGGATCGTCTTCTTAAACTCATCAGCAGCATTCTGTGGACAACAAATACAAGATACATTTCAATCACACTCAGACGCTCACATCATAGACAATTTCAGAGTAGATCCGTATGTCAACTTAAAAAAGATAAAATCATAAATGAGCACGAACATAAAGACAGCAAAACTGTCCCCACCAGCACTTTGTTCTTATGCTGGAAGAATGTAGTCATGATTTTGTTTGTAAATCTTAGTTTCTGATCTAAATGGGCTGGTTAGGGGTTTTCCTTTTGCAGAAAAGCAACTGATAAGGCCAGCTTTTTTAAAAATATATCTACAGTAGTTGACACAAGATAGGCTCCATTCTCCAGAGGCAGGTTTTGTGAGTCGTGCTCACCACAATATGAAAATAAACATTTAATGCTCCTACATTTTTTAAAATTTCTGATGACCATTTCCAGTTTTCTTTTAATTAGGGAATTTAACATCAATTGAGATAAGCAATGAGATAATTATCATTGAAGTATACATTTCCATTATGTTGATGAGTCTTAAAAGTGGCATTTAAACATAAGCATGAGCTTAAACAAGATTTCTTTCTAATTATATCAGTAAACAAGCTCTAAATGACTCTAACTCTAATTTCCCACTGATTAATGGAACTTATAGAACTGTCATGGTTCTTGATAATCTAGATATTAAGACTTGAAATTGAAAAAAGTGGCTCCTTGTATTTAAACAGTTTAAAGACTATGTCATCATTTAGGGTCAACAGTTGAAGGTTAAGGATATGAATGTAAATGCATTTAATTGAACAAAAAAGATTGAATAAAGGCTCTGTAGAGTTTGGTATCACTCACAGGACTGTTTGCTGGTTTGATTCCCTCCTTGCTGCGACCCCCCCGAGCACGCGAACAGTCACAGGACAACACGCCGTTTTCTTTTGCATCCCTCTCCTTCTGATCATCGGTCCAATGTCTTGGATTTAAAGAAGTGTTATTCTTTTCTATCGCCGTGAGGATACCTTCATGTGAGTGCCATTTGCTGGACATCAGAAAGCGAGATGGTGTTGTTGTTTGTTCGGTATCGGTCAGGTTCCAGTGGTTTGGGAAGGTATGAACAGATCCATGCAATATTTTCTTGGCATTCAGTTGAATCCGTAATTCTGTCCATGAACGGACAGCTTGGAAGGGCGTGGAGAGGTTCAATCGGACGTTATGAAGGGGATTAACTGGTTTTGATTCAGTCGAATAGGGAACGTCCTTTCTTTTGACGATGTGAGAAGATGGAAATGAGATTGAATGATTTGATTGTTTGAGGTCTTGATTGGCAGATGGCGATGGAATTGGCTCAACAATCCAGGAAGATAAATTATTGGACAGGAGAGTTGTATTTTTTGAGATCTGCTCAGTTGCTGATATTGTTGAGGATGAGGACATAGACGTAGAGGACAGAAAATGTTGATCGGCAGAGTCTCCTGGAGAAAGATCTTCACAGCTGCCGAACTCCTCGTGCACAGGGGTCACCTGGATGTGTTCAGCCCAGTGGACCCTCCCGTCAGCGTCCAGCTGCTGGAAAAAGGCCTCGGTGTCTTCCCTCTCGCCATCCGAGTCGTCCACTGAGCTTTCACATGCCAGAAGTAAGCTCTGGCTATCCAAATCATTGGAAGCATTTCTGGATTGTGAGATCTTGTCAATAAACACAGAAGACTCCACTGGAGCTTCACTGTTAGGAGTATTAATAGTATCAGTTCTCTTTTGATACATTCCGCAAGACTCTTTCTGATTTGCCTCAAATGAATCCTTATGCGAGCCAGTTAGAATGGCTGGTTTAACTGTTTTGGTTTCGGTACATGTCTGGACAACATTAGTGGTCACCTCATTTTCTTCGTCTTCCTTTCCATTACTCTGCATGGTATCATC